AGGACTGTGCCCACGAACAAACCCGGTTGTCTTGTCCTAAAAGAGGTTGCCTTCGATGACAATGATTCACATATGTTGCAATGTTTATATCGATAATCCTGGAGACAAACAACTTCTGGATTTGTATATTATGAAAGATATATGTTTCATATTTCCTCTGCTATGTTCCTTTAATATGGATATTTTGCCTGTGGCATCTGGTAGATATCAACATATTCAACATGATTCCGTTAAATCAACTTCTTCTAATTGTAAAATTGTTGTTGTTGTTGTTTGGACCTTCTCTTTTATTTTAATGTTTGTCCTCATGAATATTGTTTTTCAATTGTTTCTGAATCACCCTAATCATATATTCCTGGTATATCTCCTCCACACAATCCGCGTCACCCTCTACCCTCCTCCTGTCTCCTCTACCCTAATTGGTTTGCCTGAGATCATACTGGCCTAACAGCAGGTGAAGTTTGTTAGGATAGCCTTGTTAGTCTCTAGCCCACTTCCTCGGCCCCTGTCACAAAATCTCGGCATGTCAGGGCCAATTGGTACCGGAGTCGCAAAAACGTCGACAGTGGAACTCCCGGGAGTCTCCGCGCTCCTGCCAGGGAGACCCTGCGATATGTGAGAGGAGCTATATTGGGTTCATTACCACTGCCAGTTCGGGAACTGCCTCCGCAATTTTGACATTTCGGGTCTTTAAGGAATTTTCCATTCTTGATTAAACTAATTCGATTTTGTTCATTTTTTGGCATATGTCTCTCAAAACGGCGCCTTGTTTCTCGCCCACAAGACCAAAGCACACAGGAATCTTCTGAAAATACACTTCACCTGTCCATCTCTGTTCTCTCCTTTTGGTCGCCATTGTCAATCCCAAAGACAAATAAATCGAAATGATTCTGCAAAATAAACACAGGAAACCATGCAAGCGTGATTTGGACTTCATGTTTTCAGACATTTGCATTCTAACAGGGGTATGATTATTTCTAGACCAGACTCAAGAATGTCAAATCTGCATTTTAATGTGCACAACAATACCAGATCCTTCACTATGATTTAGACTGGTATGTCAAGTTAAAGCATTTAATCGCTTTCCAATGTTGTTCTAAAATGTATCATATAAGTCGAAATTGACATTTCCATTCAAAAAGCTGTACATTTCCTTCATTTAAACATGTAATTCAGATATGTATTTATACGTTTATCTATGAATCATGAAAGTGTCATTTTTCCATTGTTATATATATACATACTATACTATTCTTTGCCCATATATATAGAAACTAAATATATGAAAACGCTAGGGAGGTAAAAAGAAACTATTTTCATTTTTTTTAAAATAGACATTTTCCCCCTGATGAACATCTAAAGAGTTTTAAGCGCTAGGAGGTACTAAGCAACTCTTGTCGATTTCTTTTATTATATATCTGTATTTATAAAGGGGAGAAAATATCGTTTGGGATTTTATACGTTTTTTTGCTACAGATTTTTCCATATTGTTAAAGAAATATTTCGCTTCGTGTGCAATCTGACAACTGGAGTTCTACATCGCCCTGTTGTCACTGCTGGATTTCAGATAATGAACGCCACGATGTACTATTTTGAAAACTATCCAGTAATGAGTGTAACATTTGGAGCTAGATAGTTAGAGGTCAGACACATAGGGGACAATGTAGCAGCTGTTAAATTATCACCGTGAGTAGGATACGGTTTATAATACGGCAAATAGGGGTAAAACACATCCTAGTTAGCGTGAAATGAGACGCCAATTTAAAACTATTATCATTTGCTTCACTAATGCCGTTGTTTTGAATGCTGTGTGCTATTCTATGATGTATGAACTTTGTTTGCTATTATTATATTTACTTGATAGATGTTTTATTCCTGATACAATTATTTTCAAGATATGTTGGGGTGTTTTCCTGCCCGATATGGCTTATGAAAATATTTTTTTAAATGTATTAAGATTGTTTTTATATCTAATTAATGACGTTTAACGTTTTTTATTTGTTTGATACGAACAGCAATATAGCAAAATGAGAATAGTTATTTAGGTATTTAAATATAAATACAGCAAATAAATTTATATATATATGACACAGAAAGACGTGATATACTCTTATTACATATATATTTGATATCAATGTCCTTAACCTTATCATAAAGAAACCTATATCACATTTTTTTTCGATACATAATGCTGTATCACGTAGCTTGACCGAGAATCATTTTCTTGGCTGGAATTCATCGGTTGTTATCTACTGATCAAATCGACAAATGAACACCAAGTATTAATTCCGAATGTATTAGTGTCTTTTTCACTCGCTATTACGTCATCTATGTTGTTCTTGTTCTGTTCGCCAATTTGGTTCGTTTCGAGTTTTTTTTAATAATAGAATAACATTTATTTGGAATAATCTTAAAACGTATATGGAAGAAACTAAAACATGTATAGCATGAACAGCTATAGTTGTGTAACAAAACCAAAAACACACAGTTAAGTATCTGACGTCACAGACAGCACTCCTGTATTGCACAGATATTCAAATATACTCGTGCACGGGTGTTTTGATACATGTTTAAACAATTACAATTTGTATTTCTGCATCATCCTATTTTAAAACCAAAATGAAAACCAAACTAAAGCTAGAAATGATAGGTCAAATATCAGTGCACGAGTTGGCAAAGAAGGAACAATTTCCTTGTCAGAAATTAAACATTACATTTTTTTCTGTGATAATAATATCAATCAGAACTGGGCCAACATAGGAGATTACATCTGTTTAGTAAATGCTAAAATATAAACATCTTCTTCCGAATAATCTCATACAAACAATAAACCAAAATAACGTCTAACCCGACATAGACGTATTGCACCGACACCAGTTAAGATATGTATTTAAGTTGTTTAAATATATATAGGATTATTGGAAATATGCCATGTTTTCTGTAATCATCCAACATAAATATATTAATTATCTAGAAAGGTATGTCTATTGTCATTCCATTTATAGAAAAAATCATACTCATTTCAGTAAAACCTATAATAGCTATTATTCATATATACTACATATATTTTATACGGAGAAGGTGTGGTTACATTATACATTTATTATATAAATGGTTTATGTCAAATATGCCTGTCAATGCTGTATTTGAATACTAACGAGATAAATCAGATGAAACAAGCGCTTTGATGTCGAAGTGTGAATTATTTGTAATAAAGTAAAACTAACATGGCCGATAACATTGCCGATGATCAGGGCGAGGCAGTGATGATTTAGCGAATATGAAAAAATTGGACTTAACTGGAGGCCATAACTTTCTGTTATAATTGGCGGATCTTCAAAATCAAATAACATCATGGCTTGTTATTCCCGAGGGTCTTTAAACAGCAAATTGGTTTATTGAACACGGGTCTAAGTCAATGTTAATCGTAAACATGTATAACGTAATGCAATGTTTAAAAACAATCATTGAGGTAGAGTGTGATTGGGCTCTCTACACTGTTACGTTTCGAGGTTTAATGCCCCCGCGGCTATTCAGAGATCAAACATACTGGATCCGCAAGTTATCGAATAAATGTCAAGTGGTAGAATACAAATCGGTTTTCCTAAACAAACCTTATTGAAACGTTCACTACACTTAAAGACAGACTGATTTACTTCAACCATGAATGAAAGCCACACATATTTAAAAACTTTTGGGCGGAGGAGTATATTTATTGAACAGTGTGATTTTATTGAATACTAATCCTTTCATCTGAACCTACTTACACCAGGTAGTTATTGCTGAAAAACCACAAGTTGTTGTTCAAAAGCATGTGAAATTACCTGGTGACTATTACTAACACGCTTCAAGAGTGCATAGCTCCCATACTGTGGTAGTTTTTCTTTTATTTTACATATATGCTTTTTCCTGATTGGTTTTAAAAAAGATAGATTTTTTTCATTTTTCTTTCGTATCTTTCTTGATTTATGTGGTATAATATTGTGAAATTTTCTTTTAGATTTTTAGTAAAATGCATAATTTGATTAAATTGTTAAATGTATGGGAGATAACTCGAGAAAACAAATTATACTTCTTTGAATTATTTGTTTTAATTTATAGCGTACCGGTAATAAAGAGTTATGTATCTATGAAATATCTACAATAATTAGACTATAAATCAAAACTTTAGTTGCTGTTCATGAGGTATGCCCGAAATGTTTCAATCAAAATGCTCCCAAAAGATACCATGTAACCAATAGGTCAAATAGATTATTAGTATATAAAATATGCTGCAGAAATCGCAATATGTAGGAAAATGGACTATTTAACATTTACCAATTACAATAACAAAAGTATCCATTCTTTTTGCTTCGAAACGTAGAACTATGCATCTGTTTGGTTTTATAACATTAAAAAAAAATATTGAATTCTTTCATAGATATCTCTTATTTTGTTGTATAAATAATGATTTTATTAATATCACCCTTTAATTCAAACCAGTGATTCCTTCTGCCGTTGAAGAAGTAAAGTACTACAATGACTCATGCTTAGTATGATACGAGTACTGAATACTAAATCTAACAAATGTAAATTATATGTTAAATATTGTCAGTGTTCATTATACGAATTGACGCAAAGAAATGTTCACATTCATGAAATTGAGGAAAATTTAAAACTTTTGAACATATCTATTTATTTGTTTATCCTGTAAGTGTGTTACGTTCAACTCTTAGTGCTTTATTTTGGACTTAAATAAACCAGAAGCCACGCCATGTGAATGCCAAAATATCTATTATAATACATAATCAAATATATATAGCATAATAATGTGATAAAAAGGTTATATAAATTACTTAAAGAAAATGGTTGCTGTTTCAGAATGAGGTTTGGCATCTATAACTCTGTGATTAAACATCAATGGAATTACGAATTTATAGCTGTGGCAGTATTTCTTATTTATTTGTTTATTTTTCCACATTTAAACACTTTATCCTTATCTATGTGTTTCTGTGTTTCAGTGCCGACGACTACCAAACAAGGGGATTTCGGTTTCACCACCGCTGTTACCACAGCAACACCCCAACAGCCAAACATGGGCCGTACCAACTTCACAAACAAACAATTAACAGAACTGGAGAAGGAATTCCATTTTAATAAATACTTAACACGTGCTCGACGGATAGAAATAGCTGCCTCGTTAGGGCTCAACGAAACTCAAGTGAAAATATGGTTTCAAAACAGAAGAATGAAACAGAAAAAACGGATGCGTGAAGCTCAGTTTGAAAATTCAATGCGAGACAATTGTCAGTTGAACATAGACGGACTTGGAATGACCGCCATGACACTATGTCAGGAAGGGCGGTAGACCTCTAGCCCCAGGTGGCCTGTGAAATACCTCGTTGTGAAATTCTTATGTTTGTTTCTACACATGTCAGAATTCTTTTGGTCCTAAGGACAACGTTAGAAAGTTGGTATACTGTCGATAATTAGTGCTTGAAACCAAATTGTTGTCAAGACAACCGAACTGCGTTACTCCTTCATTTCAAGTGAACAGAAGTTGTATCCTCTTAAACAGGATATTTGTGGAACAACGTTGGAAAAGTCCCCTTGACGCAATGCATGCTTCCTGAATTTCGACTTAGGCTCAACCCTGTCCTTCGACCTTTGGTGTGATTATTACATTGTTATCATTTATCGTTCATGTGTTATTGAAAGTTATTTCTCAGAAAATATGAAACTGTTTTGATGTTTTCGTATATAATGGGCAACATATTATTGTTGGCGTTTTTTGTCATTGCATTTTGTGACATGGGTTGGTCGAATTCCCGTTAATGCAAAGCTGGGCAATGAGCAATGTCATTGAATTTTGCGAGTTTAAAACTCTAAGGAAATACACTGGTGATGTAAAAAGCCAAATATCATTTATTTATCTGAACACTCTGTGATGTTCTTAAAATCATATTCAGGCGACGTGTGAACAATTGACCTAGTCATTTTATTATACAGCGTATATTTTGCTTTTATCTAAATCCTTTGAAGGTGATATGAATATGTAATATGTAACCCGTGAATAATTTGCATAATGTTTACTTACAGGAAAATGCGGTCTGTACTTTTTTATGAGACATGTTTTCTTTGAGTAGGAAAGTGAAGGTATCCATTTTTACTAATATCTTAACTACTTTTCGTCATCCATTGATGTTTGTCTGTGTGTTACAAGACTACATTCCACTGAATCAGTGACTTTAAAACAATATCTTGGTGCATAATAACACACATATGTAACGATGGTGCTCCGGCTATAATGATGTCTGTAATTTAATGTCAATGGTAGGAGACTTTCACTTCTAGTTAAAAGGAAAAGATGGAGAACCTCCCTTCTTGGCTGAAAAAAAGCAACGTCACCATCATTGCAAAATACACTAAAGAATATAGAATAAGAAACGTTTTCGTATCATTGTTGAACATTTCTTCCCTTTTGTGCATTTCTAGAACTAATTTTGTCAATTAAGAAAGAACACACATCAATTTTGACCTTTGTAGTATACAATATATAATTTATACTTTGAGGATTTGTTATATCCATCTATTAAAACATGAAATTAATTAACTCGATGAAATCAATACAAAGTTTATATAAATCATGTGATTGACATTTCCTGCTTGACGTAATGAAAATATCTATACACACATATATGTTAATTATGTAACAATTAACGTACAATTAATTTATTAGTTTTATTTATAAAAAAAGTCAAATCACTCCTGCAAGACGTTATATTACGCTATGTGCCTTCGACACACATATTGTAGGCCATATAGGAAGGGAGGTAACCGATTATTGTTTCGTTCAAATGTAAGCCGTTTTAGCCACGCGCTGAAAGTGCGTATTAGTTTTCTATGTGTTTTTTTGTCCCATTTAGAATAAATATGAATAAGTCGTGTATGTGAATGCTCAATCTAGTGTCATATTTATTGATCGTAGGTGATGACTAATCGTTTGATTATTTATGTAATGTACATGAAATACGAATATTCTAGACAGAAAATATCTTTTTCAAAACATGTTTATTTGTACGTTCAAAATTTAATGTTCGTACGAATATGTGTTCATTCACAAGCATATTACATATTACCTGAGACATGTACTAGTAGGTCCCGATTTGCAATATTTCAGGCATTGTTTGTGTACAGCTGTCGTGCGAGACAAATAAAGTGACATATTTTTGGTGCAATACATAATGAATTGTCAGTGTTTTATTTGTATGAGTAGAATCTTTAGTATTGATATACTAGAAAAAGCCATTGGTTTGCACCTTGCTGCACATGACTCAATACCCACCGGATCCAGAAAGCATCTTTCTTCGTGCATTTACAGATCAATTATTGGGTTTGCAATATAATTAATTGCATCTGACCCATTTACTGCTATTAAATAGCTTAAAATGCATTCTCGAATAAGGATTTCGCAGAATGAAAATAAGCTGCATTTTTCATAATTCTTCATGACTTATATTATCAAAATTATAGGATCAACAAGTGAAACTTTGATCAGGGTGAAAAACGTAACTCCACGACTTGTCTAGATAGAAAGTCAAAGTTTGATTATATAACTCTTTACTTGTAGTGTTAATTGATAAAACATGTTTGACACTTGTTCGGACAGTAGTACAAAATAAAGTAAGGGAAATTATCAATAATACATTACTTCACAGTTTAGTTATACAAGTTTCTGGAAGGTTGAAGAGTGTGACCTTAAATGCTTCTCTGACAAACACCAATAGCAAGGTAATATATCATTCCATCATCGCTTCCCTTGTTCCAAAACTACCATCATCACGGAATGACAACTTTTCTTTAAAGATTATATATTCAGCTGGATTGTTTTGTAAATCAAATTAGAACAAATAGTTAAATGTATTGATGCAAATACTATTGATTAGCAAATTGGGAGGAAATAACGGTCAATTATGATAGCAATTAGTTAAACATCATATAGAAAATGTTTAGTAAATCTAATTTAGAACCATTGTGAAATAAAATAGTATACCCCATAGTTCGTTCTCACCTTCCTCAAATGAAAAAATATACATTTAAAAATTGACCATATCTAACTTAGAACTTTGGGCAATAGTTCTCATTTCGCAGTGACTAGAATAAACAAATTAAAATTACTTGGATAAGCGAAACAAATATATATTGACCAAGCCATATTGAAACGTCTCTGAAATATCGTGTTAACAGGCAGCTTCATTAGGTGACATGGCAACGATGGGATAAATGACATGCTAAATAAATATAGACGACAGCTTGAAAACTAGAGGTAAATTTCACGCGTTAACATCACAATGTATTCTACATTTAAATATATTAATCAGCTGTTGGTCTTTTGACATTTATTCACAAATTGTGTTGGTTTGGCTGAATATTAACGCACACTGTATTCGCCTATAGTTAAAAAATCTGGAATAAACTGTGAATACCACAGACTATGCATAAAGGGTATTGCAATATAAGTGTGATAGAGAACTGACAAATTCAGCATCGAATATGCCATCTAAGGTAACATCGATAATTTGGACGTGGAATGTTTAGCAAAATTATGCTTATTCCATTATCATTAGACATCCAATTGTGATAGCGTGGTTTCAAATACCGAATTCATCATTTCATTAACAGTCAAAGAAAACTGAAGGTTTCTTATTCATTTATCGTGAATATATAAATCGTTAAAATAATAGTGAAAGTGTCTACTTTATTAATCAAATATATCGATATACTTTTGTCGTAATGATACTGGCATCAGTATACAGATAATTACTTCGGCTACAAGGGCCAAAGTGTGTATAATGTCTTTGAAAGAATCATCGCAATGCTAAACAGCGTTAAGTGAACATTACCATGATGACTTACCAGGAAATCACAGAACAGGAATCTAAAAAAGAAAGAGAAAAACATCTTAAACAAAATCAATTATTTCTACACGACACGGCTCCAATTCCGCCCCTGAAAATTGAATTTTGAATTCGAATTATGGTTATATGGCAATAAAACCACCATTCGAATTATGGTTTTTATTGACATTTCGGCATTTTTTTGGCCATAGTTTTATCGATTTTGAGTTCGAATTATAGTTTTATTGACATTTGAGCATTCTTTTGTTAGCTACAAGAATGCCGAAATGTCAATGAAACTATTATTCAAACTGTGTAAATTTGCCATGTAAACCTAAGTCGAACCTAGGTAATGTCATGTTCTCACATCAAGAACAAAACCACAAGGTACTAAAATGTGCAAATTTAAAAAACCTCGACCTTCATACCACAAAAAGAAATGGCATAATTCTCTACGATATTCTGATGCTGACCATACAACTTGCCCATACTCGTTGAAAATCCTGTGCTGTAAGTTTGTCCATCATTAGTCGACATCTATCACAGAAATTGCGATATTCGGAGCAAATAAGATAGAAACTAGCGGGTGTTAATATCAATATATAACAACCACAAGGAACAGATGCATGAAGACAAAAATAAGTGTCATGATTACTTGAGGGAAGTATACTTCAAACAGATTGACACTACACTATAAGTTAATTTCATTGTTTTAATCAAATGCAAAACTGATATCTATATATGGTTGTTCTACAACTTTATTTCATATAGTTTTGATTCTGTTTTAGTTACTGAATATGTAATCAAGAAAAAATGCGTTAATACATTTCGGAGAATAACAGTTATAAAAGATAATGCCTAAAACATGTCTGATGCTGTCTTGCTTGTGTAAAAAAAGGCTTTCTCTAGCGTGGCTGTGTTCAGTTTCCATTCAAAGACAAAAATCAATAACAACTGGAATTTTAAAAGATTCCCAGACGCACGTTAATGTCTTATGTTGAATTTGTAATACTTAGCATTTAAATAAACAATAAATACCAATAGAAAGAAGTTCGTTGCTTGCATCCTGTTTTGTTATTCTTACATTTTATAAGAATCCATACATATTATTCAAACAAAATCAATAACAACTGAAATAAAACCAAATACCAGACGCACGTTACCATCTTATGTTGAAATTGTCATTCGCTGTTAGCATTAAAATAGACAATAAATGCAAACAGAAAGCAGTTTGTTGCTTCTACCCTATTTGTCGATACTTACATATAGTATGAACTAGTATTTAAAGTCAAAAACATTATCCACTGAAATAAAAATATCCAAGACGCACGTCAGCGTTTAATGTTGAATTTTTCATTTACTGTTAGCATTGAAATAGACAGTAAAAACCAACAGAAAGCAATTCGCTGCTTATACCATATATTGTGATACTTACATATAGTTGAAATGCAATGTAACTGCATTTCAGTGTGCAATCCAAAGAGCGGCCGTCGTCCTGACAATGTCAGGAATTTATATAATCTTATAATTATGACTTCAAAATATAGACCATGGCATGCCTTTTTGTTGACGTTTTGTTGAGTTTTATGGGAATATAGAATTGCATTTTCAATGAAATGATAAATGCATTTTGTACATTAAAACGATTCTTTCAAACTTCGTTATAATTCATGTTAGAAATGATTGTCTTCGTCAGTTTTTTTACAATCAATTACAAATTATGCAGTCACACATAATGTTCAATATAATAAGTATTTAAACAAATCAAACTTTGCCTGCAATATCTCGCAATCAACTTAGAACATGCACATTCTTGCCAAATATAAGCAGGATAACCTGACCAGTCCATGGTGATGTCATGTGTGATACAATTGTGACGTCATATCAAGAATAATGATTTTGATTGTAACTAATCCTGTAGTTTATACTCATACATTTCTGAAAGTCGTGGAAGATAATGATTTGACAGCAAACAGAAAATAATTACAGCATTTAATTTTGTTTCATAATTTAGTCGCTCATCCATATTTGTTTTATCTATTATTCATTCGCTCATTCCTATCTGTTCATATGGATATGCTTTATGTTCGTGTTACTGCCATGTTTATTTTTTCATTTACAGAAGTCATTATCTAATTTCAAACTACCTATCTCAACAAAAAAAAATGGATTTTTTTCTATTCTACCATTAGTATATTTTATTACATTTCACCTGTGTTCACTTTCTTCATTCTTCAAATTGATTGAAAAAGACGGTTAATTATACAACTGTGTAATGACATATTACTAAATGTCGCCATACAGGAGTAGTTAGCTTTCTAAGTAGCCTGGTTCAGGTTTGTGATTTGAGTTAGCTGAAGGTTAAAAAGGTGAAGTTGTCGAAGTATATGTAGTGATGCATTGAATATGGAAATGTCAATCTCATTTAATTTATCATGTTCGAATTAAAATCGTCAAAACATATAACTGATAATAGAGGTGACGCCATTTTGCTCTTAAGTTGGCCTTCATTATCACTGTTCGCTTTGCAACTTTTGAGGACTTAACTTTTAACAACCAACATCTCATCTTTTTAACAATCTGTTTAAAATATTACCATCACACCACCACACAATTCGTCATACCATATAGAAAATAGAGTAGAGTGTAAACGTCTTAGTTGTTTATTATTTGATTGAGTAGAAACACGTCCTCAAAAGGATATATACGGCTGGCCTCGTGCGTGATTTATATTGCTATTTATTGGAATATATAAAAAAAAAAATGTTGACGACTGTTATTCTTTGTTTAGTAACTGAAACTGTTTATATCCATAATAATATGTTTTCCGAACATTCAAGCAAAAATCTATCAATTACTTTGCCGTTGTATTAAGCTTAAAACATCATTTATCGGGCGTTAAAAAAGTCTGTATATTTACCTACAAATGGTTGATTAGTACAATGAAATACAGAAAGATGAAACAGACAAAAATGACACTGGGCATGTTTTTTTCCCCAAATTTGTGCATTTTTTTACTAATTGCAGTATAATAACCACATTATTAGTTTTTCATGAGCATATGTTTGGATGTCCAGCCATCTGCAATTACAACTGCGTACCCTCTCAGTGGAATACGTGTAAAGACAAAAATTAATACAGGCTACCTATTAGTTAAAACCACCGAAGATCACTGTCTTAGAATTCAGAAATCTGGCGCTTCGTGCAAATGAAAAATGATCGTTTCCAAAGTCGTTAGAAATTCCCACCGTGCCTGGTCGGCTATTGATGTGACCGACACCTCTGTGTGAAGGTGATTTACGGTTGATAACCTCAGACTTCACACGACCTCAACCACGTCATGCACAT